CCCCCCCCTCGGGACCCCCCTGGACACCTCGGACCCCCCTTTTTTTGGGGGGGGGGGCAGAGGGGGGGTCGGGGGGTGATTTTGGGGCTGTTTGGGGGCGTTTGCTGAGTCGGGGGGTTTTTTATCGGCTCAATAAAAAATTTCCTGTTTCAGTAGGTTTGGGACCCCCCCCAAAATACTGGGGATACCCTAAAACCCCTGGGACCCCTCCAATATCCTGGGGAACCCCTAAAACCCCTGGGATCGCCCCAAAATTTTGGGGATCCTCTAAAACCTTTGGGACCCCCCCAAAATCCTGGGGAACCCCAAAATCCTGCACCCTCCCCCCAAATCCTGGGGACCTGCCCCCCTAAACCCCTTGGGACCCCCCCCAAAATCCTGGGGAACCCCCAAAACCTTTGGACCCCCCCCAAAATCCTGGGGAACCCCCAAAACCTTTGGAACCCCTCCAAAATCCTGGGGACCCCCCCAAGCCCCTGGGACCCCCCTAAAACCCTGGGGAACCCCCGAAATCTTGGGGAACCCCCCCAAACCCTTTGGGACCTCCCCAAAATCCAAGGAACCCCCCAAAAAATTCCTGGGACCCCTCCCCCGTGTCCCGAGCGCGTTTTCCCTTCGCGACCACGAGAGGGCGGCCGAGACCCCCGGGGGGGGATGGGGGGGCTATAGGGGTCCAAAGGGGGGCTATGGGGGTCTATAGGGGGTCTGGGGGGGGGGCTATAGGGGTCTATAGGGGTTGAGAGGGGGTCGAGAGGGGCTATAGGGGGCTGGGGGGGTTATAGGGGTCTATAGGGGGCTGGGGGGGATCTGTAGGGGGCTATGGGGGTCTGGGAGGGGCTGGGGGGGCTTGTGGGGGTCTCTGGGGTCTCTCGGAGTCTCTCACATCTCTGTAGGGGCTCAGGGAGATCTATAGGATCTCTCAGGAATCTACAGGTGCTCTCAGGGCTCTATAGGGTCTCTCAGGGCTCTATAGGGTCTCCATAGGGTCTCTCGGGGGCTCTCAGGGCTCTATAGGGGCTCCATAGGGTCTCTCGGGGGTTTCAGAGCTCCATAGGGGCTCTCAGGGTTCTATAGGGGCTCCATAGGGTCTCTCGGGGGTTTCAGAGCTCCATAGGGGCTCTCAGGGCTCTATAGGGGCTCTATAGGTTCTCTCGGGGGCTCCGTGCCCGTTTCTGGGGGTCGGGGGGGGGACACAACAGGTGGGGGTCGGGGGGGACCCTCCGCAGGTTCGGGGGTCCCTCAATATGGAGGGGGGGCTCTGATCGGCCCCGGGGGTGGATCTTTAGGGGTCTGTCCCCTATAGGGGCTCCATAGGGCCGCGGGCGGGCGGACGGGGGGACCCAGAGGCGTCCGGGCCCCCCCGCGGCTCTGGAATTCGCCCCCCCCCGCCCTCCCCCCGCCCCCCTTTCCCCCCCCCCGGGTTAATCCCGGTGGCACCAAAGGAGCCGCTTTTGAGCCGCGTTGTGTAACCGGAGCGGCCACGGGGGGACCCGACCCGGACCCCCGGGACCCCCTGAGACCCCCCGGGACCCCCTGACACCCCCCGGGACCCCCTGACACCCCCTGGGACCCCCTGAGCAGGTGAGAACGGGGGGGGGGACCCGAACGGGACCCCCAGAGACCCCCCGGGACCCACAGAACAGGTGAGAACCCGGACAGGGACCCCCGGGACCCCCAGAGACCCCCCGGGACCCCCAGAGCAGGTGAGAACAGGGGGGGACTCGGACTGGGACCCCTGGGACCCCCAGAGCAGGGGAGGATGGGGGGGGATCCAGACAGGGACCCCCGGGACCCCCAGAGACCCCCGGGACCACCAGAGCAGGTGAGAACCTGGACTGGGACCCCCAGAGCAGGTGAGAACCTGGACAGGGACCCCCGGGACCCCCAGAACAGGGGAGGACAGGGGGGATCCAGACAAGGACCCCCGGGACCCCCAGAACAGGTGGGGACAGAGGGGGACACGGGAGGGACATGGGGGGGGGGAGCCGGACAGGGACCCCCGGGACAAATGGGGACATGGGGGGGGACACGGAGGGAACACGGGATGGGATGGGGACACTGTGGGGGGACGTGGGACAGGTTGGGGACATTAAAGGGCCCGGTGGTGACACGGGACGGGCTGGGGACATCGGGGAGGGGTTGGGGACATCAGGGAGGGGTTGGGGACATCAGGGAGGGGTTGGGGACATCGAGGACATCGGGGGGGGGCCCTTCCCCTCGGGGACAGGGGGGCACAGCTGGCCGGATGTCCCTGTCCCCGGGGAGCCACCGAGGAGGGGATGGGGACATCGGGAGGGGGGACAGGGACCCGCTGGGAAGGGACGGGGACAGGGACAGCGGGAGGGGTTGGGGACATGGGGAGGGGTTGGGGACATGTGACGCACGTGGTGACACCGCTGAGGCTGAGCCACGTCTGTGGGGGTCACCACGGCCCCTCTGGGGCCCCTCTGGGTCCTCTTTGGGTCCCCTCTGGGTCTCCGGGTCCCCTGTCCCCATCTCTGTGTCCCCCGTCCCCTGTCCCCACTCCACGCTCCCGGGGGTGTCCCCATGACCCCTGTCCCGTGTCCCCATGGCCCTGGGGGTGGCCGTGTCCCCTGGGATGGTGTCCCCAAGGCTGATGGTGTCCCCAGGAGTGATGGTGTCCCCAAGCCCTGGTGTCCCCATGGGTGACCCTGTCCCCCTGCCCCGCGGTGTCCCCGTGTCCAGCAGTGTCCCCCTGTCCTGATGTCCCCGTGGTGTCCCCACCGTGGCGTTGGGGGCGGTGCTGGCGCAGGTCGGGCCCTGGGCCGGTTCCAGGTGCTGCAGATGGCCCTGTCCCCATGGGTGACCCCGTCCCCTTGTCCCGCAGTGTCCCCGTATCCCGCTGTCCCCGTGGTGTCCCCGTGGTGTCCCCGTGGTGTCCCCGCTGTCCCCGCTGTCCCCGCCATGGCGTTCGGGGCGGTGCTGGCGCAGGTGGGGGCCCTGGGCCGGTTCCAGGTGCTGCAGACGGTGCTTCTGTCCGTGCCCATCCTGCTCATGGCCAGCCACAACCTGCTGCAGAACTTCACGGCCGCCGTCCCCCCGCACTGCTGCCGCCTCCCCGGGGCCACCCCCGATGGCGCCTCGGGGGACTCCGGCGCCTCGGGGTCACCCGATGCCACCCTGGGGCTCCCCGATGCCACCCCGAGGTCCCCCGGTGCCACCCCAGGGTCACCCGGTGGCCCCCGCATCCGGCCCGGTGACCCCTCCAACGACACCCTGGGGCCGGCGGGGGCCACGCCGGGGTGGCCCAACGTCACCCTGGGGTGGCCCGAGTCCACCCTGGGGTCCTGCCGGCGCTACGTGGCCGCGCCCCCCGCCAACGGCACTGGTGGCTCCCGGGCCACCGAGCCCTGTCTCGATGGGTGGGAGTACGACCGCAGCGTCTACGTGGCCACCATTGTCACCGAGGTGGGCTCGGGGACGGGGACGGGGATGGGGGGACAGGGAGGGGGAGAGGGGACTGTGGGGAGGGGGGACAATGTCTCCAAGGGGATGGGGGGAGGGGGGACTTTGGGGGGGATGTGGGGTGGAGGGAGGGAGGGAAGGAGGGAGGGGTGATGGGATGGTGGGATGGATGGATGGATGTTGGGATGGAGGGATGGATGTTGGGATGGATGAAGGATGGATGGATGGAAGGGATGGATGTTGGGATGGATGGATGTTGGGATGGATTTTGGGATGCATGGATGGGTGTTGGGATGTTGGGATGGATGGATGTTGGGATGGATTTTTGGGATATTGGGATGGATGGATGTCACCCTCACCCGCCCTGTCCCCGCAGTGGGACCTGGTGTGTGGCTACCGGCAGCTGCGGCAGATGGCCCAGTCCATCTACATGGCCGGGGTCCTGCTGGGTGCCCTGGTCCTGGGGGGCCTCTCGGACAGGTAAGGGCAGCGCAGCCCCCGGACAGACCGTCACCACTGTCACCAGTGTCACCCAGTGTCACCCAGTGTCACCCAGTATCTCCCACTGTCTCCCAATGTCACCGATATCTCCCGCTGTCTCCCAGTGTCTCCCAGTGCCACCCAGTGTCCCCGTTGCAGGTTTGGGCGCAAGGCCATGTTGATGTGGTCCTACCTGCAGCTGGGGGTGATGGGGACGTGCACGGCCTTCGCCCCCAACTACGCGTCCTACTGCGTGTTCCGCTTCGCCGGCGGGATGGCCCTGTCCGGCTTCGGCCTCAGCATCGCCTGCCTCGGTGAGGGACACGGCGGCCGGGGAGGGGACAACCCCATGGCTGGGGCCGGGGATGGCCTGGTGGGTCCTGAGGAGGATGGCCCCATGGTCGTGGAGGGGGTCAACCCAGGGGTCATGGATGGGGTCAACCCAGGGGTCATGGATGGGGTCAACCCAATGGCCATGGATGGGGTCAACTCAACGGTCATGGATGGGGTCAACCCAACAGTCATGGATAGGGACATCCCAACAGTCATGGATGGGCTCAACCCAACAGTCATGGATGGGGCCACCACCATGGCCATGGAGAGGGAATTCCCCGTGGCCATGGATGGGGCCACACCCACAGTCACGTCTGGCCGTGACGGGGCGGCCGCATCGCCGGGGAGGGTCACGGAGCTGGTGGGGGGGGGGGACCACCCCAAGTGAGCCGCGTCCCCCCCGGTGCCCCGCAGTGGTAGAGTGGATCCCCACGCCCTACCGCGCCATCACCGTGGCCATCACCGGCTTCGCCTACACCCTGGGCCAGATCATCCTGGCCGGGGTGGCCTACGCCGTCCCCCACTGGCGCTGGCTCCAGCTCGCCGTGTCCCTGCCCTTCTTCGTCTTCCTCCTCTACTCCTGGTAGGACGTCGGGGTCCCCCCCGGGGGATGCCGTGGGTGGGGTGGGGGGGGGACACGCCGCGGGGTGCCCCTCGTGCCTCAGTGTCCCCCGGCGCGGCGCAGGTGGCTGGCGGAGTCGGCGCGGTGGCTCGTGCTCTCGGGCAGGGCCGAGCGGGCCGTGAAGGTCCTGCGGCGCGTGGCCGCCGTCAACGGCCGGAAGGAGGAGGGCGAGAAGATCACGGTGGAGGTGAGGTGGCCCCGCGGGGGGTGGGGGGTGGTTTCCAGCCCCCCCCCTTTCCCCTCACAAGGTCTCCCGTTCCTCTCTCCCAGATCCTGAGGTCCAACATGAAGGAGGAGCTGGCGGCCCTCAAGTCCTCCTACACCGTCTCCGACCTGGTCCGGACGCCCATCATCCGGCACATCTTCTTCTGCCTCTCCATCGTCTGGTGGGGCCGGGGGGGGGAAGAGTGGGAGAGGGTGGGATGGAGGAGAGGGTGGAGAGGTGGGTGGAAAGTTGGAGGGAGAGAGGGGAGAGGTGGTCGGACAGATGGATGGATGGATGGATGGATGGATTGAGAAATGGATGGTTGGATTGAGAAATGGATGGTTGGATGGATGGATGGTTGGATGGATGGATGAATGGATGATGGATGGATGGATGATGGTTGGATGGATGGATAAATGGATGATGATGGATGGTTGGATGGTTGGGTGGATGATGGTTGGATGATGGTTGAATGGATGATGGTTAGTTGGATGGTTGGATGGATGATGGTTGGATGGATGGATGATGGTTGGATGATGGATGGATGGATGAGGGTTGGATGGATGGATGAGGGTTGGATGAATGGATGATGGTTGGATGGATGGTTGGATGGATGGATGATGGACAGATGACGACAGATAGCTGGATGGATGGGTGATGATCAGATGGTTTGAAGAACAGATGGAAGGACAGATGGACAGAGGGTTGGAGACCTGGTCAGACAGCTGGACATACACCAAGTGACCCCTCCCATCCAACCACACCCCAACCCTCCTCTGCCCCTCCCTCCACTGTCCCTGTCCTGTCCCACCCCAGGAAGGTCTCTCCACCTCAAGGTCCCTCCTCTCCCACCCCTCTCCAGGTTCTCCATCAGCTTCTCCTACTACGGGCTGGCCATGGACCTGCAGAACTTCGGCGTCAGCATTTACCTCATCCAGGTGATTTTCGGCGCCGTCGACTTCCCGGCCAAGGTGGTGGTGACCGTGGCCCTGAGCTACGTGGGCCGGCGGCTCTCGCTGGTGGTGGCCCTTTTCCTGGC